TAACCTCAATTCAATTCTAAATTACATGTTCTCACTCTGTAGCAAATTGACCTACGTCAGCCACTGCGAGCTTATAGCTTTTACGTGAACCAATCATGCCTGATAAGTGAGCTGAACCGAATTTAACTAGTGTTGAAGACCGTCGACAAAACCAACAGCGACAGATTCTTTACATCTGCTATAAGGAAGCTCTGAAAGATGTTTGAGTACATATACATATCAATACAGATGATTTATAAAACTCGAAGCGATAAGTATACGTGAATAGTCAAGTTGACTGTTGTGATTTTATCTTTGCATGTGGAACAATCTCTGCACTTAAACTAACAGCTTCCTCAATCTGTTTAATTATTATTCTGAATTTGTAGTAGCTCTACGTTGTGTTGCAACGAAATTTTAAGCATTGCACATCGGGTATTGCCTGTATGCAGCATGAACGGTTAAGAAATTCTGTTAAATTATTAGATTATTCTCCATTTTCCTAGCTTATAATGATCGCACGTGCTAGCTATCTTTATTATTTTTAGTAATTACTGATCAGTGTGGTGGATTCCAACAAAAGAGCTTATTCAATATATAACAATACACAAAATTACCAATAATACACCAAAAGGAGTTAACACTACAACTTCAAGTGTCTATCTATGAGTAGAGCAAATGGTAGCAAATTACAGTTACAATATAAATGGTATATTAAACAACAAGATAGTAACATTTGTTATGAAATGAATGTTACTTGTAAGGTGTTCTCCGAGATAACCACAAATGAGTTCACTTGATTAACGAAGGTCCCTCTGCACGTGGTGGCACCAACCGCATAATGAGAAATATTGAATCCAATAGTATTATTTATTAATGATCAGGGCCGAAAATATAACGTGATGTGGGAAGGCCTAAGACGATGTTATGACACTAGTATTATCTTCAGTCAAAGTCCGTGGCCAATAAAGCTGAAGAATAAACGGCGGAGATAGCGTTTATATTCCAACCAACGCGGTAGTATAACAGTAATTGTATATAACCAAACAATTATATCCTCTTTTTATCATTGATACAGAGAAACAATAGATATTGAATATATATGCGGTTACATATAAAGTGTGACAAATTAGAGAAAAAATGTGGTTTTTATTTTGTCGTTACAAAAATAACTGAATATACATGTTACCATACCAGTGACACTTTGAAACTTGCTTATGATTTATTATGTATAATCAGCTGTTATACTCGTGTAATTATCTTACCATCAAATTGCACTTGTGATGCTCCTCTCTATTGATGTCCTCCCATTTGAGTCCCACCCTTTTCACTCTCCATGTTTGGGGTCATCATCCATTTTGTACGAGTCCTTGTTGTGACAGTCAGTTTAACTGTGACAATGTGATTTATTCATCATGTGACAATCATTCAAATTATAAAACTAAGTTTAAAAAATGTAGTGAAATGTAAGGAAGTATTCGAATAGAAAATGATGGACAAATAAACTTTCTTTAAACATTCATTATGGATTTGGAGAAATCCTTAGTTGGAATCAATCGTTCTAGATAAAAAACAATACTTAATCGTTGGCGGTACAGTGACAATATTCACAGTATTGAAATCTTCCCATGATAATAGTCTCATATAAAACGCTAATGTTTTTGTTCAGCTTTAAGCTAGTTTACGGGACTGTGAGAGTTGCGAATATTACGTTAGCTTAACCCATAATGCTGACCATACTTGTGCATCTAACTGTGACGGTCAGTGTTTGATTTCATTTTACAACGACTGACCTACTTATAATTTTTCACTTAATCCAAACTGATATTTGAACAGTTATCAAGTCACGCATCCACTTCTTGAGCAGAATTATGCTTGCGAATTCTTCAGTTTCGATTACCATAACTGCTTAATTAAATCTGAATACTATGTAGTCAAAGTTGTAAACATGTGAACATATTTCTTGACATTTCATCCTTTTCAAAATCACCCATTAACTGTTCCGTATGGAAATGATGAATAAACATTTACTCATGTTGATGTATTATGCTAAACACAAGTGATATTAAATAGACGGAATACTTGTCAACATTTCAATTTGCATAAAATTGTATATGCAATTATCAAGTGTAATATATCGTTTTTCTTTGTCTCACTATTTATTTATTAACTATCCTGGTATGAGTCACGTTATTGAAATTTATTATGATAGTCAGTGATCAATATGCAATGGAACTCATCCAGTCGACGTACCTGCGAAATACAACTGACATTGTTAAAATTATACGTTAATAGCAGGTAGGGGAACAGTTATATTGCATTGACAAAGGTTGTTAAGATAAAGTTCTCCATCGGAAATCATTACAGAAGACACTTTATTGACTTTATTCGATAGACACAAAGTACTGGTTAGGTGAAAATGCATCCCTTTCTTTACGTCTTGGTAGTACAGATAAATATACTTCGTAAAATCTGATGGTGTTAGGTTGATATGAACGTCGTGGTTTCCCATGTTGCACCCACCAAACTACACACTATTATCCACCCAGCGTTGACAATTACCTCTTCTACAGTCAGGCATCTTCAGATAATTTGGAAGAGCATCTGTAAGGCAGAAACTCTTGGCCAAAAACATTGGGTAAGAGAACAAATCCATACAGTGACCGGTTAAAATAAAAAAACGTGCAAAAACCAAAACTATTATACCCAAATAGAGTAAGGAAACGAAGACAATTCTTCGTACCTTAATTGAAAATAATCCAGTTGAAGTGAAAACAGTAGTCCTGGTGCATAATAAACAACCAAAACTGTAAAAATGTATTCAGCACGGAAAAGCGATACAATTGGTTATTATTGTTCTGAGATGAACTTATGTTTCCAGATGTGTCTTCAGAAAACCAGAAACAGACCTACTAGTGGATCAAGAAATATGGTATTTTATTTGATATTTCGTTTGTCGTTTACTCTCTCTGTGCACGAAAACACTACGAATACTGAGTATCGAAATACTTTAGTTGCCGGAACTAAGCTTACGATAATGTGAACGCATAACTTCACTGATTAATACAGTAAAAATCTAATGTACAAATTAAAATTTTTAGCATCATTTATAAGTGTTTGATGAAGAATCACGTTGCTTGTGATTCGTAATCTTTACATGCAAACTGATCTATTTATTGTACATTCTCAAATTACTACGTGCATGTGACCTTTGCCTATCGGTTTTGATAAAAAAACAACTGTTCCTATCTGAATGTGATTAACACAACCTTTTACAAAATGAAGAAAAAACCTGTTGTGTCATTCAGCAACATGATGATAATTTTGTTTTCGATTAAATCACTTGCTTAAACGACATAATTGTATTATTAATTAGTCTATAATATAATAGAGGTGTGTTGCGTCATATAATGAAGTAATTAAAAATTGTCAATCGTTTGCAAGTACCAAAAAATAATAGTCTATGATAAAACAGACTTGTTGAACCATTTGACCAAGTAATCAGAAAAAATCGTCAGCTTTAAATATTGGATGTAAGTTGAAATAGTCTTCGAGATTATAAGAAATAATAATTTATTGAGAAAATGTAAAACACAGTTGTCTATTGTACGAATATATAAGAATGAAGAAGGAGTTAATGATTGACACGAATGATCTGTAAAATCAGAATGGGTTCTAGAACCATGGTAGGGTAAAAGATTGACAACAAATCTTTGGTGCACAGAGGTCAGGTCGGAATTGATGAATCGTGATAGGTTTAGCAGCACACAAATTTCTGATTCATACCTTATTTCGATCGGTTCTGTTCACGTTTAAAACAATATTGAACGATGATTGTCATGGGTGCATGTTGACGAGTTAATGATATGTTTAAGGATTGACTGATTTGTATTAGCCTTTCGATAGCTATGTGGGGCAGTGCTCGCATAACCGTTTGGTAGATTCACACCCTGAGTGTCCAATAAAGCCTGCTCTATAAGAACAAGTGAACTGAGAAAAGCAGATTTAGATGAATCAAAGCAACAATTTATCTTTGGTAATTCGTCAAATGAGCTACCTGGTTGGAGACCGATCTCGATTTTAATTCGTTGGATTTTATTCAGTTTATCAGGAATTGTGACGTCCATGCATGTTTAGCTAAAACATGGCCACATGTTCGGACAAGTAGGACCAAACTGTCGATTGTGAGGCAGTTACCTACCGAACACAATGGAAGATGATCGTGCAACATCGTGATTGATTGAAATTAGACATTAGCACTGTTAGATTCCGGTTCAGTGGTCTAGAAGTTAAACGTTAGCGTGAGATCGAATGTTTTGCATTCGATACTGTGATTCAGGGTCGTTGACATACGTAATCTTGAGGAGCCTCACACCGAGAGGAAACAATATTCTGGTTCTCGCAGATTTTCAAAAGTGGTCTAACTAAGGTCAATTCGTGAATTAAACTATGAAAATTCTACAGTCATTACAACTCTCCCATACCGTTAGAATATCTAGATGGTAGTCCACCTGATGGTTAATAATAATAATAATAATAATAATAATAATAATAATAATAATAATAATAATAATAATAAGAAGAAGAAGAAGAAGAAGAAGAAGAAGAAGTGGAAGAAGGACTAGTAGTATAATAAGAACAATATTAACAATAATAACTGGGTATCATTTCCAACATTTTATTGGTTATCAGATTCATAACATCCGATTTACTTTATCAGTTGTACCACTATTACCACTGGTTCAAATTTTTTACTTCTCACGTAAACATTTTTCGCTTCGAAACAATCGAACCGACTAATGCATATATTTTGATCAAATGAGTTTCTGATGCAAGAATCACGAATTCAAACATCCAATCAAAACCAAGTGGATTTTAACGAATCTGATCGCAACACAAATGATATACAACCAATCAACTAGTTGACATAATCGACCAAATTTGTACACTTTGATTCATTGAAAGTTTATTTTGACATGATACAAATCATTCACTAGTTTTCATTTAATTATGGTTATTTTCTCAAAATTAATTGGTTGGGAGCAACGAAATTGAACCACAATTGTTTTATTGTTAGCTCACTAAATATTATCTTCTCGACGTGATAAATAAACTAATTGATAAATTCTCACAAAACGTTGTTGCGTGTTTTCATTAGCATGTCACTCATACAATTTAAACCAATCTAATTCTAAAATAACAATGGATTAATCTTATGACTTTGAAATAACATGTTTGACAAATCATTGTGGACTAGTTGTGCTCTCCGATATAAAGTCTGGTTATCCATTCACTTATTCTGTGCACTATGTTTATGTTTTCTTGGCTAGTGTTCCTTAGCCTGTTGATTAATGCCAATATATTACTGTCATATTCTTCGCCAGTCAAAGAGACACCTCCACAACAGGTTGGGTTGATATATGATGAAGAAACTCGGCGCGCACGGGAACAATACTATCGGAAACACATTGGAGGAAATCAGAGCTCTCCAATGTACAGTTATGATTATCATGATGTGACAAACGTTACTCATGTAGTCATCAGTATATCAAAACGCGATTTGGTATTTTTCGATGATTATAAAATCAAACCTGTTATGTGTTTCATCAACTACAGCAGTCAAGTACCTTTAGTCTTATCCTATGATCTAGATTCCAGTTATTCTGTGGAGTTAGTTAATAAATCTAGGTATTGGTTACCGCCTTCATCAGAAACCAGTACAAATATATCACTTTACATATTGCCAAAACTGCTGGGGTTAGACTATTTGATGTTTTTAATTAGTGTGGATAGGCCGAAATCTGGATACAACACTTCTACGTCATGGCTTACTAATAAATCCGAATCTCTCAGAAATAAATATTATGATGATTTAGCAACTCACCATCAGTTGAATCTCTCCTTGCTCAATACACTGGAAGTTGATGATGTCAATGAGAACAAAATATTAGCTTTTCCAGTCATTGTAACATTAGACAGAGGGATCGGTTATCGAGTTTACCGTATATTCATCATGGTCATGCTAATTGTGTTCACTTTTGTAATGGGGTGTGATTTGGAACTCTCTGTGATTTTGTATCATTTTAAAAGACCCGTTTCTATATCTGTTGGATTCTTTTGTCAATTCTTTTTCATGCCATTGGTAAGTAGATTGACTATTTGTTCCTTTTATACGTGAAAATTGAGAGTGTTCAGTCAAATATTTATCAGACACTGAACACTACTCATTATTCATCATGAGTAAATACTTCACAGATTGGACCTGCTTTTCCACCAGTTATTTGAATAAAGGACTCTGAAGCTTCTTAGGAATCTTTGACTTTCAATCCGAACGACCATATTATACCACGCTAGATTTTTTAGACTTGACAATTCAGTTGGATATCAATCCAAATCATAGGCTCCGTAACGTAACACTTTGCGCTACAGTCTAATGCATTATGTTAGTCAGCATCATAAATATTATCAAAATTACTATTATGTGACGTGAGTGTGCAAACTCTATCAAAACATGAAACTGACAAAATGAGAAGGTATTAAAATAGACGAGAAAAGAGGAATACCAATGAGAAAAAAGTAAACAAATATAATTTACAATTGATTTATCACTAGATGGTGATCAATGTCATGTACGTCAGGTACTTCTTAGTGCTGATCGAATCATTTCGACCAAGCTGCAATGTGGCTACTAGACAAGGTGACTCGACATTGCGTGCACTGTATTGAGATAAGATGGTAGTTGGAGGTAGTCGACAGGAAACCCTGGACCTAGGTTTCGTGTTACATGGCACTCATCAGCAAGGTGTACCTGTGATCTTGAGGGAATTGATGCTCTCTGACTGTGAAGCTGCGTGACACGGGGTCAAATCTGTCGGGGAGCATCAGTGCCCTCAAGATTACGGGAACACCTTGCTGACGAGTGTCAAGTAGCACGAAACCTAGGTTCAAGTAGATAAATATAAATTAAGATAATCGAAAGGTAGAAGATTATGAGGGATCAGGCATTCAATAGACTATGGAAATGGGACTCTGAATTCGCAAATTACAATCTTCACAATCTCTACAAGTTAGACTGATAAATGGGACCGCTACATTGCTTCGATTAAGTCTTCGTAACTTTTCAGACCATTCCTGCATTTGATCACGTTCATAGACCCACAAATTCAGACAGCCTAAGTGGCTAAAACGGACTGTCACACAATGTGCATAACGCATATCCGAATTACTTCATTTGATGTAGGCTTACAACTTCATAGATTGGCCTACTCCCTTCATCCAGAATACTGACTTTACCTTCTAAAATACTTATCAAAATCTTTAAAAGCTGTCGATGTTTTAGTGCGGTTGTGGTACCGTTTAGTGTAAATAATTAAGAATGGACACAATTATCATAAGCGTTATGAATACAAAGATGAGTAACTCAAAAATGACTTCTGGGGGGTATGAAGCTGATATATCACAGTGCGGGTCTCAAAAGCGACCTGACGTCTCATTTTAGTTGTGGAGATTTCTCCCGAATAAATGTTATGATGTGTCTTGGTGAAATCTCATAAATTTCAATGTCTACTTCTTATTATCTGAGAGTTGGAAATCTGTTTCATTTCACAATTCCCTAATTATGTTTATGAACAATACGCGTCAAGGTTCGATTTACGCCCCATAATATTGGATCCATCTAGGAGTTTCATTTTAAATTATTACCTTTCAACTACAATTAATAGTCTCTCAGAATTATAACACACCGAGATAATAATTTTAATAACAAAGCAGACAGTCAATCACAATCGAATCTAGTAGTATAACTTACGTATTATTTTAAACAGCATTTATACAGTCATTTATCATTGCATGGTTTTAATTGTTAAGCTAACTGATTGGTCAGTTCAGCAGTTTATTGAGGTAACGTACGTGCTGTAGGGCTTGTGTGTCTAAGTCATTCAGTTATATCACGTTTGTGGAATACAAGAAGATTTGGTAATGCAACTCACGATCTCCAAGATTAGCTGTTCGGTTATTATTTGATACTGCAGCTGTGGTGCGTGCTACTTATATTGATATAAGTAGTATATGACGCGAGTCAGGAATGTAATGCCTAGCAGCAGAAGATGGGGGAAGATCAAGAAAGCAAGTGTGGGAATAGAATGCACTTTGTATGAAAATGCAAAGACAATGAAGTCTGAGGCATTTTGAGACAATTGGTGGACATTTTGCAAATTACCGATTTAATATCTGGTTCTCAGATTTTATTGGGATGCTCTGTAATTTTGTGTTAAGTACATTTGATTATCCCCACACGTGTTCTGTTCACTACACAGCCACTAAACAATCATATCTATACATTAGATTCTGATTGGTATCTCCATGAGTAGTCGAAGGGAATGTGTTTCAAAGAAATCATGTTTTTCTTCCTAACTGTTTAGTATCAGGAATGAAATTCTATTGGCATCATAGTTAGCTGATGAAGTAAAATTGAACTATGAGAAACGTCCTTTATTCGATTATCGTTGGATATTATCGATTCGGTTTTATTTATGGACTATCTTTAGAATAACACTAAATGACTGAAATTCACACTTCCTTAACGATTGATCGGATCAGTAGTTTAAATATTGACATGTGAACGCAGTAGTTGTAAGCATAACAACTTTAATTTTCATCACAGAAAACTTAGTCAATTTTCAGTGCTACAGATTGGATTGGAAATACTATGCATTTATTAGCATTAGATATATTATTAATGATTGCTTCATTTAAACGATAAACTGAATATGTTACTTGCAGATATGTAAGAAATCAAATAATTACTTACATACTTACGCCTGTTACTCCTCGTGGAGGAGTATAGGCCTCTCACCAGCATTGTCCGTCCAACCCTGTCCTGGGCAATCCTTTCTAGCTTCTTCCAGTTGTTATTCATCCTTTTCATATCTGCTTCTATTTCCCGACGTAATGTGTTCTTTGGCCTTCCTCTTTCCCGCTTCCCTTCAGGATTCCAAGTTAGGCCTTGCATCGTGATGCAGTTTGATGATTTGCATAATGTATATCCTATCCGTTTCCATCGTCTTTTCCTAATTTCTTCTTCAGCTGGAAGCTGGTTTGTTCTCTCCCACAGAAGGCTGTTGCTGATGGTATCCGGCCAGTGGATGTTGAGTATCTTGCGCAGGCAGCTATTTATAAATACTTGTACTTTCTTGATGGTGGTTGTTGTAGTTCTCCAAGTTTCAGCTCCATACAGTAGAACTGCCTTGACGTTCGTATTGAAGATTCTCACTTTGATATTGGTTGAAAGTTGTTTTGAGTTCCATATGTTCTTTAATTGTAGGAATGCGACCCTTGCTTTGCCGATCCTCGCCTTTACGTCTGCATCTGAACCTCCTTGTTCATCGATGATGCTTCCTAGGTATGTGAAGGACTCTACATCTTCCAGAGTTTCGCCATCAAGAGTGATTGGATTGCTGTTCTCCGCTTTGAATTTGAGGACCTTGGTTTTCCCTTTGTGTATACTGAGGCCTACTGATGCAGAGACTGCTGCTACACTGGCTGTCTTCATCTGCATCTGTTCGTGTGTATGGGATAGGAGGGCTAGGTCGTCTGCGAAGTCCAAATCGTCTAATTGATTCTGAGTTGTCCATTGTATTCCGTGTTTTCCTTCAGATGTCGAGGTCTTCATAATCCAGTTGACCACCAGAAGAAAGAGGAAGGGAGAGAGTAAACAGCCTTGTCTGACTCCGGTCCTTACTTGGAATGCATCTGTCAGCTGTCCTCCATGCACCACTTTGCACTGTAATCCGAGTAATGTTGACAATCTTCTCAGGAACTCCGCCTGTAACTTTTCTAGGGTTTCTGCCAGTCCCAAGCCCGGGTAAAGTGGAGGGTTGGCGAAGGGCATAGGCTTAGCAACCCAGTCCCGTAGAAAACTAACTCACTAAAAAAACGCTAACCAAAAAAATTAATTCAAATCAAATAATGCATAAAACTAAACTGCTAATTCGTCTAATTGTGTTTCAGATTGCACTTTGCATTACAAAAATTATCCCAATTAGATCGGAGTTTGGTTTCGGATTACTCACCATTGCTTGTTCTCCAGGGGGTGGTAACAGTAATGGTTGGTCTTTTCTACTCGGTGGTGACATCAACTTGAGCATGTTAATGACGTTCATCAGTAATTTAGCAGCTCTTTGTAAGTTCAACTTATATATATTTTTCCCTTGAAGTTATATGATATAATGCATACATACTAAACAAAAACCGTTAATTAAGTAAATTATCATTAATTTGAACTTCGTTTTAATGAAAATATATAATATTGGAGATCATTTCAAATGAACCAACAATACAATAAAGCCGATTTAGTATTATATTTTACGGGCGTTTAAAAGAATTCCTTCTGTCATTATTAGATCTTGAAGGAAGACGATTTCACCTGGAATTGCTAAACCCATTCTTTCGTAGCTCAGTTGCGGTTGATAATTAACTAGACATCACTGGTCGCTGTCATTTTGTTTACATTGTGACCGATTAAAAACTTCAATGCAATATGCTGTACAAACCTATGGTTAAAAATCATACACCAACTTCATGTTTGGTTAATGACGCTAGTTACATACTAATTACAGTAAAATGAGTGTTTTAAGTACATCGTTATTTCATCTTGCGCTCCAATACATTAAACAAAGAATAATGGTAAAAGGACAAAGATGGAGGGCATTTTATATTATTTGTAATACTGATAAAATACGTTGAGTTATTCTACGTGATACTCGTGTTTGATATTTAAAAAGCACCCTGTAAGAACTTAGTTAGATGAGAAAATAAAAGCTTTTATAGATTATCGTACAGTAACCAGTGTTATGTTCTACAAAAATCGTGTAGGATATTCTATTCAGAAAAGTTAAACGACGGTATCTGTGGGTAAGGTATTCAGCGATAAACTGAATGATTATACATTTCAGTTTCATTGTTAGTTACTTAATAAAGGTTACACCAATGCAAGCACGAAAGAACTGTTTCAATCTGGTATATGAATCCACTCAGAAGTACAGTATAAAACTATGCACAGAGCTCATACTAGGGAGTTCTGGTTAAATGACACGTGTTTCTGTTGAGATTTTATCAATACCTGTCCGTTTTAGTACTGATGAAATGAATTGAAACGAATAGGTAAAGTGGTCAAAATACCAATAATTTCTAAATTGTTTGTATTAATATATATGAGAGAAATATACTGATTCATCTACTTTGTTAGGGCATCTAAAGTATCTCTTTATGTCTTAATAATGCACACCAATTGAACGATTGCTTGCTATTATCCGGCATTAGAAATAGATATATCAACTTATTATCTATTTAACACGAGATTTCGTAATTTCAGACAATGTGAACATTGAGCAGATTACTTGTGATCATAAAAGTAGTCATTTATATATCGCTTCCTCACGCTAAATCATGGAAAACTTAGGATTCAATTTTCTCCAACTCATTGGAATTTTACATACATATTAGTAATATCATCTTGATATTAATTTAAAATGGAAGTAAACTGTTATTCTGGTACAGTTTACAGGTTTACTGACGTTTTAGAAACATCGACTTAAATCGCGTTAGTCAATAACGGAACTAAATAAGTCAAATAACGAGAATGGACTTTTGAATACATATATTTTGTATATGAAGCGAATGGAATAGAGAGAAGCAAAGTGACGCGCAGTGGGGATGGCGGGTAATCCAACTCCATTTAGCCAAGCGTTAATCAATCGTTATAATTATACAAAAATGAGTTACAGACATGTGATGAATAGTGGGGCATAGGAAGTATACACACACATATGCGCTCATATAAAAACAGTCAAGATCGATAAGCGAATAATTAACAAGGTCAAAATATGACTCAAGTAGAATGAATAGACTGGCCTTTCCGAAAGAGAGAATAAGGTATATGGGCTTAACATAGTAACCGACACGACAAAGTGTTTTGGGGGTCAAACATAACTGAAGAACTATTTTGACTTATAAGCAGATTGTCAGGCTCTATCCTCTTTTATAATAATGCACATGACTCTATACATTTTACATTTCACAAAAACTATGGTAATTGTCATTTCTACATTTTTATTTTGTTTCTCTTCTTTATTCACTCACAGTCATGATGCCATTTCTTCTATTCGTCTACGGTCGGTTCTTCATTGATGTGACCAGAATAGAAATTCCATACTTCTATGTTTTCTTGCAGTTGTTACAGATAGCAATACCCGCATTAGTAGGTTTAGGTCTACGTATATGGAAACCGAATTTTGCTAAGAAATTCAGTAAACTAGTCGGTCCATTGTTTAAATTTCAAATAGTATTCTTTTTAACTGTTGGTGTGTACATTAATTGGTCATTGTTTCGCCTATTAGGTGCTTTTCCTTTACTTGTTCTTATATGTGCATTGTTACCCTGGCTTGGTTTTTGTATCAGCTCATTGTTCGCATTCATTTTACGACAATCATTTCAATCAATTATTACGGTGGCTTTAGAGACTGGTATACAAAATATCGCTATTGCGATCCTCGTCCTATTATATGTAATGCCGAAACCAACTGGTGAATTAGGCGCTATTATGCCAATTGCTGTAGCTGATTTAACACCTATACCGTTGTATATAATATACTCATCCATGTTAATTAAACGTAAATGTTGTAATCAGCAGAAAAAGTCTAATGACATCGAAAAATCTTTTCCTACAGAGATGAGCAATGAGTGTATTAATGACGTAATGAAGACCGAAAATGATACCAGTGTACCACAAACAAAAGTATCATTAACAGGAGTAACAACAACTGTTAGTGACACTGAAACTTATTAAACAATAAAAAATGGTGCCTTATAAAATCATTTCCATGTTGTTGTTTTGTTCTCGATCTATGAATTGTTCTTTATAGTGTTCTGGTATTTGCTATACCAGACGTGTAGATAACTGACGTAGGTGATCTGTGTCGACGTGTCAAGATGTATTTGGTTTAAGCTGAAACGTTGTTGCTAGGGTTGCGCAGCATAGTGTACCAACTCGTGATCTGGTGAGAATGAGTGACCGAGCGCCCTCAACTAGGATGTGTCCTGTAGAACGAATGAGATCAGCATCAATGTTGAAGCCTTATGTAACTATTTATTCTGGAAATTTATTTACCGCTTTAGCTGAATCCCCGTAGTGGGGTAGTGATATCCCTAAGACTTTGATAAGTTTTGCTAATTGAACCCTAGACTTATTACCTAAGATCTTTTATTAACCCCCAGGCTAGAACTACACAGCGACTTGAACACGAGAGAAAAGGCGCGAAATACGTAAGCAACACTATTCCAAAGGTTCATTTTCGTACAGAAAATATAAGGTTTTCATAGTATTTTGTATGTCCTTGGGTTTTTCGAAAATTCTGGAATGCTACTTAACAGTGTAAGTAATCAACCAACGGGAAACTCTACATGTGACTTTTCACTTTCTTGATGTTTCTGGTAAGACGTCTGACGAACGAAGTAGTCTGCATCTACCAACACGGCTAGGACTAGAAGTAAGTGACTTCAAGGACTGATGCCACGTTTTGGTTTGGCCACCTATAACTTTCTTCCAGTCATCTTCATCACTAAACTGCATTGCGCGTCGTGGTAATCTTGGCTCAACCATCTCAATCGGAAGAGATTCACAACCTCATCAACTGGTTTGTCATCATTCCCTAGTACCATATACCTAACCTCACTATTTCTTAATCGGTTATGCCAACATATGCGAGCAATACCTCTAAGATATCTGGGATCAAATACTATTAACTTGTGAGTACCTTCCGCTCTTGAAGACTACGGTTCGCTGCCGTTCAGTAGAACAGAGAGAACTGCTGTGCAGTATACTCGTCCCTTAATTGATAGACGGATATCTCGCCTTCGCCATAAGTGACATAAGTGGACGAGAACCAAACGAGCTCTCTGAAGCCATGTGGTGATTTCGTCAGACGCCAACCCATTAGGGCTGTTCAGACTTCTAAGATAAGTGAAGCTGTCGATACATTCGACTAATTCACTCATTATCCTTAGTTCAGATGTTGACGCAGGCCAATCCTGAAGCGACCATATGCATTTAGAGAGGAGAAACGCGTCCTAAACATCCTAGCATTATTGCTTTGTGCTATCGAGAGACTCTGTATTTTATCAGAGTCTTCACCGAACAAGATTGTCATCTGCGTGTTCTAAGTTGATAAGTGGACCTCCTGGTAGGAGACCAGATCGTGAAAATTCGGTCGACGTAAACGTTGTTTTTAGCAGTAAGTTTATGATGAAATTAAACAGAAGTGAGATAGTGGATAGCCTTCTTGGATACCACTTGAGGTTGCAAAGCTAAATGACGGTTTACCATAAGCTCTGACATGATTGTTATTAGTGCATGTCGGAATACACTTGAGTTTGCTTAAGCAGGAAAAACGTGCGAACGTTCATTCTGGTTTCCCTTCCGTTTTAATAACCTCTACATCATGCAGATACCAACCTAATTTTCAAGGATGTGTATATGTACCTATGTTTGCTGTTCGTCATGCTTTGCTGACATTATTTTAAAGTTATTTAATAATATTTATTTGAACACAAATATTGGTACAAAAGGGCACTGTATACATATGCACCACACAATTACCTTGATTTGTTTATGGGCTGTGATATTTCCCGGGCAGATGGTTTTCTTAGTGGACCATGCCGGAGCCTTCGACCTAAAGGTCTGATCCGCAAGGCGAAGGAGCAATGTTAGTAGATACAGTCCCATGGTAACAGGTGATCAAGAACAAGTTTATACGCCCGTTGTTCCATCAGGATCTTGGAATGCATGTGCAGTATTGGTTTGGAATCAGGGTTTCCCAACACTCGCTTTTTGTTCCCTCGATTTAGCAAACAACACCGCCGCGCGAAGGAGAGCTGACTCTTCACACGCTGAGCTGTATTAGGGCATTTGGCCGCTGCGTGCGTTTAAGATGCTACTGCAAAAATAATTACGTAAATAAAAGATTTTTGAGAGTTTGTACATTAAGTATATTAAAGTGACTTTGATGTGTGCCTTAACAGAATACATGCATCCATATCTAAAAAAACATTTCATTGAATTGTGTTTTTCAAAATTATGGTGGAACGCGGGTGGCTACTCTAATTTCAACCGACTGCCCGACTTCAGATATTCCAGTGCGACCCCAATACTGTTCCCCAATCTCCAATATATCAGAACACGAACCGTTAGATGAAAACTGTTTATGGGGCCAGGAAAAAAAGAATAATAATAATAATAATAATAATAATAATAATCAGAATGATACTTTGCATATTTATACAGTTAGGACTACCGTGAATATTGACCAACAGGAAAATGACACGTGAAATAAATATTGACCAATAGGAAAATGACTCCATTTCACGTTCAAGGATAGCATTAGACTTAATAGGATAATCTTTGGGATATTTTTCTGAATATCCCAACACCTCCCTTTTTTGAAGATCCGGAGTTGATATCCGGATTATAAATTTTCCTGGTTCATCCTCCCCCACGGAACACTGTTGGATCCTCAGTTTCCAAACGTTGAAGTTCAGCGTCAACCAGAGTTAGAGATGCGTATGGGACTGGACGTTTTGGGCTAAAAACTTGCGTAGCTTCTGGCTGCAGTCTTAAAACAGCTTCCGTTGTGAAACAAAGTCCGAGACTAGGCTGAAAGAGTTCAATAAATCGTTTTTGAAGGTCTGCAGCATGCTGTTATGTAGAGGCAGTAGTTTGTACTTGATCGCAGATAGCGTTAATGGGAAAATCAGCGAGACCAAGTTCTTCGAACCAGTCTAAACCTAGAGGGTTGAGCGGAGAATTGGTGATGTAGCACGTCCCATTGAAGGTTGTACCTCTGAATGAAATGCAGCAATAGAGTTCACTATGAAGGCGGAGATGACCCTCACAGGCACTGACGGCTGTCTGAGAGGATGGTTCGATGGGAGGTTGGCTCAAGGTTCGCCAAGTCTTTTTCGACAGAATGGTGATATCTGATGCGGTATCCAACTACAACCGAACAGGCTGACCATTGATTGAGAGGGTCAGGAATTTACCTCGAGTTGCGGCATGAGTGTGGAAAACTGCTGCTAAACTCCTTGATGAGGTAATCGGCTTTTTGAGAAAACGACGTTGCGTCTGTGCATCCAACGGTTATTGGATCGGTTGGATTTGCAAAAGCCGCAAAAGCCGTTTTTGAAAATGCAAACACGTAGCTCTAGAACACGGGAAATGAGATAAAATTCGATAAGCTTAGAAAATTTCCTACATGCAGTAGTCGGTCAAGTGTTCTGGCGAGCTCTTAATCCTTTCAGTCGGCGCTGTTTAAGTTTTTAGTGGCCTCTTATCTGACTCCAGTTGGATGGTATGAATATTATTGATATGTACATATAGTTAATTCTCCTATGTAATCATCGAATTAATTCGCGTTAGTACATAACGGAATTAAATGAGTCGGTAACGAGAATAGAGTTTGAATACGTTTATTTCGTACACTTGTTGATTGGAAAGCGAAGCAAAAGAAAATGACGCGCAATGGAGAAGGCAAGTGAGCCAACTCAATTCAATTAAGCGTTAATCAACATTTATAGTCACACAAAAATAAGTTACAATTATGTGATGAATGGGATAAGAAGGGCACACGCATTCGCTTACATAAAAGCAGTCAAGATTGATAAGTGAATGATTAACAAGGTCAAAATATAACTCGAGAAGGATGGTCAAATTGACCTGTCCAGAAGCTAGAATAAGTTATGTGGGCTTAACATAAAGACGGACGCTACAGGATATCGGATACCAGCGAAGTTTCATCATGGCCTTTAACTATCGGGGATTGCATCGTCTAATTATTTAGTGGGAATGTCAGCAAGGGGGTCGACTCCTAATTAGGTGGGGTTTAGCCGGTCGATGCCAGCGTTATATTTATTTTCATCTAGATCTACATTAATTAAAGAAAATTAAGGATCCATGATTTCTTGTGAAATTCGAAGTGTCGTGCCGTAAACGAGTCCTGCTGCAGTGTATCATATGTCAGCTTTCAGTGGATTACGAATAACGAGTAGCACGAGTGGGAGAGTACCAGTCAATTATGATACGTTAGAGGCCGAAAGTGAAGCTTTTAACTGTCAGTGAAGCTCTCCAAACAACGCGTTGGCTAGTGAACGAGAGGTAGTCGTTCAGAATCGTTTGATGCTCAGGAGTGCGGTATGATACCTCAAATGTTTAGATTTGAACTGAGGTTCACAGACGATTGTAATGGTTGAAAAGCAACCGAAGTTTGCTACCCATCGTTCGACGGAGGCACGAGCCACTGTTTCAGTAATAATGTCTTTGATGGACACTGCTCCTTACCCTGATGTGAAACAGTTCACAGACGTTAAGCGAAAAGAGTAGCTATTTGATTCTCATAAGGCACTCTGCGCGCTCTTCTTTAAATTGACGATTTTCTCGTTTTCACGAACATGATTTGTTGATATTATCGTAATAGACGCGCAACTTAATATGAATCATCGATTAAAATTTATTAGTCCTTGAACATTCACAGATGCTTGACACTGGTCGGTTCTGGGTATTTTAGAATGGTCGCCACCTTATTTAGCAGCAGGTAAATACCTTGATTGTCGAAAGTATGCCAGAGAAAATCAAGAGCTTCAGTCTCAGTTTAACATTTCTCGGATTTAACGGTAATCCCGTGTTTTGAAGTCGTTCACAACAAGTTTCAGAAGTTGCAAATGGAATTTAGTGGCATTGGACCATAACTACACAATCTTTAAAGCTGGACACGAGACTACTCGGAAAATAGATATCCAATATTTAACGCGGAGAAATATCGAACGATGCAG